CACTTTGTAATGCGCAATGAATTACAACCAAATTATATATATTTTATTGTACCTAATGCATAATGTAAATGGCCTATTTTGAAAGTTCAGTAGTTTTGTTAATGTATATACGAGTATTAACACATAATTATAAAATTTTACWAGACCATAACTAAATTAGATCAAAATAGGTAACCTTTTTTATCATATGTAATATATAATTATAATATTATATCAGTGCTTCTCAACCTTTTTAAAACGGCCACCCCCCTAAGAAGCAAAATATTTTTCAACGCCCCCCTTACTTCATTAAAATAAAAATAAAAGAAGTATACGTGAAAAATGTATAATTGAATAATTAAAAACAAAGCTTATAGTGTGGGACGAGTGTACAACAAGCTACAGAGCACATTCTGAAGCGTTGGATAGATCTTTAAGAGATATTCGATTCACCGATAAACGAATGAGAGTTATTACTTTTGTTTTTGCCGGGGGCTTCCATCAAACTTTGCCTATAATCCCTAAGGGTTCAATTGCAGATATCGTAAAAGTATGTTTGAAGGATTAAAATTAAATTTTAATTTTAAAAAAATTCAAGAATATGGMATGAAATCGAAACCTTAAAACTGCTTACAAACAAGAGAGACCACCTTGGAGGCAGTAACTCTGCCTCTCCAGCGCAACTTTTGAAAATCCACGATGGTACCTATAGGAACGAAGATGGATACATCACTATAGATACTAAAATARGAAAAATTGAGATCGGTTGAGACTTTAATATCAAGCATATATCCTGACATCCTAAACTTACTGCAAAAACCGTATACTTGGCTCTGCGAAAGAGCTATTCTCACGCCACTAAACAGTTCCGCTGATTAATTGGATTTTAGAGATATTTCCAGGCACACTGAGAGAATATCTTGCTTTAGAATCGGTGCCGGCTGCTGAAGCAATGAATTTTCCAACCGAATTTCTTAATTTATTAGATTCCAAGAATATCTTCCTTTAGATTTGGTGCCGGATGCTGAAGCAACGAATTTTCCAATCGAATTCCTAATTCATTAGATTCCCCTGGATTTCCACGGTACATGTTGCGATTGAAAATAGGAACTCCGATTATGTTGCTTCGAAATCTTAACCCTACCAGATTGCAAGTTACGGCTTTGCGTAATAATGTGATCGATGCTACAATTCTTACGGGTCTAGCCGCCGGKAGCTTGCTTTTATTTTAAGAATTCCTTTGATTCCTTCAGATTCGTTACCGCACTAAATCCTCGCTTAACGAGATAAGAAGAAGGGAAAGCAATTAATAATTTTTTTATGACAGTTCACAGCCAAGGATAAATTTGAATATCTAAATACAGTGAAAACTCTTGATAACGAAACTCGTTATAACGAAAAACTCTATATTGCGTAAATAACATTAAGTTAACTTATAATGATTGGTTTGATTTAAAACCTTTTAACCTAACCTAACTTAACGAAAACTCTCAATAACGACAGAAATCACATGATCCCCCGGATTTGTTATAGAGAGTTTTCACTGTATATACTGAAAGTATAGTAAGAAAAAGCTAAARTTAAAGAGTAATTAAGATAAATCGAAAACGATTACAGATA